TAGACGTGTTATCTTCTCAAAACCTTTTTGTCTCAAGGATCACATTCCTGTTCATGTGCCTGTGGAGGAGTCCCCTGTAATATTTAAGATGTGTGACATGGAGGAGCTGCAGACTTGTAACAAAGGGGAATTTTCTCTGCCACTAAACGTAACACCCTGTCCAATGGGCATTGTAAAATTGAATGTCAAAGCATAAATATTTCAGTGAGGGCAGTCCAGCTGTCAGGGGGCTCACCTGCTGGTTCTACTTTGTTTAAGGGATCATGGTTCAAGATCCAGTGGCAACAGTCACCCTTGGAATTATTTCAACACCCTGGCTCTGATTTTACTGAATGACTAAAGTAGAGAAAAAACAAGAAGCCCCATGGAATAACTATGCATTGTTGACCAAGCTAATGCAAGATTTACTTGCAGGTGGTGGCTGCTCAGTCAGTGAGGTCCATATTTTGGACCTCAGTAAATTTTGCAATGGTATCAAAAATTTAAGAAATTTGATGAAAGGAAAATAATGGGGCAGGGGGGAGGACAAGGGAAGAGAAGGCAATAAAATAGGAGTGGTAAATTCTTCAGTTACAACTCCAATGCGTGGCTGACAGTGAGATTTCAAACTAGAGTAATGCAATCCAGACTGGTGGAGTTTAGTAAAGGAGAAGGGTTTGGATTTCCACTTCTTCCTGAAGCATTTTACACATTAGAAACACTTGAGGACAAAATATGCTGAAGGACAAAATCCTTAGTTAGGTTGAAGAGGTTGACAGGAAAATGATATGGTTCATAGATTAAGCTGGCACTGTGACACTGGTAGCAATGTGTGAGCAGAAGTCTGCAGGAATTTGCATTTTGGCTGCAAAGGTTAGGTGGTGCAAAGATGATCTCAAGAGCATTCAGCAAATTGCCCTACAGGGCTGGGGAAATCTCAGATGTGGGGAAGGAGGGCTTCCATGATATCTCTGAGACTGAAAACTTGTCCTTATCTGCTGGTGCTCATTGTGACACGCAAACAACGAACACTAGACTTGATGAGCTGTTTTAGAAATTATGGAGTGAAGCAAAATATTCAGAGAGATTTTCAGTGGGTGTAAATTACCCTTAATTGCTTGCAGTGAGGGGGACTATTCCTTTAAGTTGAGGATCTTATTCATGATCTGATTGTTTTCAACAAATCAAGATTGCCCCTTGGAGACAGTGCATAATAGTGTCTTTTTGACATTCGCAGATTGTTTTGGGAAAGTAGAGTAATAACATTTTTCAGTTTAGCAGTGTATACCAGTACACTGTGGCTTAAATTTAGTTTATTTTTTTTACAGCAGATGGGAGAAAATGTAAGGTTTATGATGTATATTGAATGAAAGGTTATTATGTTTTTCAAATGTGTATTCTTCAGTCTGAGATTTTATATATCAGCCAGCTATTTAAGAACATAAACAATTTTTTTGTTTAGTTTTTTGGGTTTTGTGTTTTTTTTTTTTTATTATTACAGCTGTTCACTTGGACAGCATGTTACTGCTTAGTTGAGAGATGCTACCTGCACTGTCCAGATCACATAACATACTCTCCAAATTACACACCAGTTCTATTACTTTGTATTTTTCATATTTGTTATTTCCAGGACTACATATAAAGCAAATAGGGAAAACAAGCTTAGATATGAAAGCTAGAGCTTAATGCTTTAAATACATTAGCAGACAATTTTATTTTTAAAGGCCTAAGTTACTTTTTAGGTTGGCAAGTGTGAATGAGGAGATATGATTTGGTTTACACCTATTTGGGGAGGGCAGTAGCATTTGGGAGATCAGAAACAAGATGTAAAGGTACACTTTTATTCTAGGGTAGTCATTATATCAAAAGTGTAAATATTTCTCAGCGTTTTTTTTATATTCTGAATCTTGTTTGTGCAGAAAGAGATAGCGTTTCCTAAAAGAGCATCTTTAAACAAAAAGTACTGAGTGGTTGCAGGTCAGTTTTGCCATCACAGTCAAGTCAGTAAATACACATGACAGTGAAGACACTGGAATCAGAGCACTGAATACGCTCTGTCACTGTCAGTGTTAGTTTTATCCACTGCTGCAAGTGCAACCCTGAAATCTCAAGCTGTGATTTAATGAAGAAAAAAAGACCAACAGTACCTCTTAGTTTTCAATTTTATGAATGCTGTGACGTTGCTTACGTGGTCTTGTGGACTTGATACTTATAGACATCATAGAACAGGTGATGTTGAAGTGTTAGTTGTGCTTGGACAAAAAAATCTGTATAAAATTATCTATCTATCTATGTCTCTATCTGTCCATCCATGCATGCATCTCAGTAAGAAGGGTAATGAAATGCAATTTAATAAATAATTCTTCCCAAAACAGAAATTATTTTTGAATATAAAGAGGCTTATGCTCTTGGAGGTATCACATATAAAAGGCAATGTGCTGGAAGAACTATAAATCAAAACCTTTTAAAAAAGGGCTTTAAGAGGAATAGGAAGACTTATCCTGAGGAAGAGAAAAAAGGGAGGGAAGAGTGTTTCAGAGCAGAAAGTGCTGCCACACAGCTGAATAAAAATAATTGGAATTTTGGAGTGTGTGTGGTGAAAGTATTTGAGAATGAGTAAACCACAACAACGTTTTTTTTCCAGGAGGTGTGAGTATTCTGCTTTTCATCAGATTGTGCTGTCTAGCATATGGACTGTTTTTCAGTTGGTATTTTGGGTGCATTTTTCAGTTCTGTGCTGTGGTGTGTGGCTGGGGACCATGGCACTCCATATGGTGGCTTTCATACTTTCCTGCAGGTGTAAAAGAAAGGATATAAGAGAACACTGTTCGAGATAAAGGTTAGAGCAATTCTAGGTTTGAAATGTCTGTTCTGAGCAAGAACAAGACATTTCAAACTGCTTAGTGAAAAGACTCTAACATATTGTAAATGTTTTACTGACATTTCTTAAGAAAATCCATTTTGTATTTTTATCTCTGTTAAATAACAATCTGCTGCCTCTTTGAAATAAACTGACAGTTTATCAATATCAGATGTCTTTAACATGATGTAACTTAGACACAGAGAGGGGAAATCAAGGATGCATAAACAGCCTCTACTACAAACAACACTTAACGTAGCTGAGCAGAGCAGTAGGAAGTGAACATATCACAGGGAAAGCACAGCTACTCCCTTACACTCATTGGCAGCCCTCTCAGTAATTACTGTCATATGGTCATGATTTACCCAAAGGGCCAGATCAAAACTGAGTTATGACTAGTTGGGATTAATCATTTCAAACTAGGCTCTTCTAACGAGGATGACACCTGCTTGTTAATCCTGCTGTGACAAGAATTTTGGTCGATGTTGAAGTGACATCTTATAACTGTAGAATCATGTTTTCAAAATTAGGGTCTTTAGGTAAGGCTTGCTTATTCTTTTCATTTTGCCTGTAGGGAGACACTGGATTTTCCTATTTGGAAGCTTTCAAATTGCTTCTGCTTAGCAAACACGCTCAGTGGGTTTGTGGTTTATCCCACCAGCCTCTAAGCAAAGCCTTTCTGGTGCAGGGCAGTACCACAGAAGGGATTACAATAAAAAGGCTTTAAATACAGTCTGTAATCAGAAGAGCTTTTTATTTGTTTCATGTTTCTGCCCTCTAGGTACCTTTGGCAGCACAATGCACAGGCGTTCTGCAGCTGAAAGGGCCTGACATACTGAAAACAGATAGTGGATATCGCATTTCACTCAGTTTTAGTAGTAATGGGTAGGACTATGATAATCAGTCCAGAGTGTTTAATGTGTATGTGATTTAATGTCTAGCCTTTTTAGATTAATTAAAAGTATAAAGGATGAAATCTTCTTTCTTCCGTGGCTTCCTAAGTAGCAGCAGTTCACTCCAAATTAATGCCGTTATCTATTTTAATTTCATCCTTATTTCCACTTCATGTTTGGCACTTCATAAATGCTTCTTGTCTCCCTTATTGCTCACTTGGACAAGGAGGATGTCTGTTTAGAAGACAGCTTTGCTTATCTGGTGATTCTTCTAAAAGGCAAAGCTATGTTTGGTTCTGACTGACAGAATTTATACTTTTAAAAACATTATGCTAAGTATATATTTTTACATGGGCAGAGGAGGCTCACAGTCATAAAAAGCAGAAAACAGTCTTGTTTAAGTATTGAAGTTTCTCTTTCTAAAAAAATACATGTTTTTTTTATTAGTAAGTCCTATTAGTTATGAAATGATTAAATTTTTAAATAAAAACAGATTTAAATTTGTTAATTCTGGAAAATCATTTAAAATTAAATCAAGGTTTCAGAGAAAACACAAAATGACATTATCTTCTGATCTTTCTGGGCATATTTCTGTATAAATATATAAAGTAGTCTAACATGTTTCTTACAGTGCCTGACATTTGCTTTAGGAATGTAGTGAAATTGAGTGGGGAGACTCAGGGCTTTTTACCAGGTCAGATTCAGATCAGAACAAATCATAGCATCTGGTGTACGGTGACTAAGAATCAATCAAATTGTTCCGATTCATCTTATGCACCTTCATTTTACTTTTGAGTTATATGGGAGAGAGTTAATCTATGATATATCCCTGCCATTATTAGAACTAGGTGCCTCTAGTTGGTTTGTAATTATATCATAGTAATATTAAGTAAATGAGACCATGGCAGACAGAACAGAAAATATCAAACCAAATGACTCTAAATAATAACTACACTTACTTTGATTGTTTTAAAGAGGAACAATTTTAGCATTTATACTGGAAAAAAAAAACCAAAAAAACTGGTGTATTATGAGGACATTTAGGAGAAAACTTTATGGCTATAAATACAGTTGTATCAGCAGTAGTAATGCCATCCAAGAAGTTTGCTATAAACTTGGAGAGATTTATGTAAACTCATTGGTGTTGATGAGGAGAAAAGTAATGAATAAACAGTTTCCGTGCATGATGTGAAAACTGAAAAGAATTTGCATTCTCTAAAAAAAAAAAATAAAATTCTGACTACAGTTCTTGTCTTTTTCCTGCATAGGTACCCATTACACCATTTCTTTGGTGAGGGCTGTTCAGCAGTGGTGACATCTTCCAATCGGCCACTCTGCAGATTATTATCTCTGGACTCCCAGCTGACACCGTGTCGGAGGCTAGAGCTACTGAGACAACTGGAATTGTGCCTGCTTTGGTCAAGGCTTTTTCTTTCACCGAGGAGAAAAAAAAAAAAAAAGATGAAGTTGGGAAAAGTGGAGTTTTGCCATTTTCTTCAGATACTCTCTCTTTTCCTGTGTCTTTCTGGGATGAATCAAGCAGAGATCACAAGGTCCAGGTCAAAGCCCTATTTTCAATCAGGGAGGACGAGAACCAAACGCAGCTGGGTGTGGAATCAGTTCTTTGTGCTGGAAGAATACATGGGTACAGACCCACTCTATGTAGGAAAGGTAGGGGATTTAAATAAACTTTGGAGGGTGCAGATGCTTGCTTGTTGATGTGTTTATATGATGCAAACTAAAAATTGTAATTCTGTTAGCTCAGAACAGCAACGCATTGCATTCTCGTAAGAATTCAAGGTTCCTGTTGCAATTTTCTTTAAGACCTCTGTATATTAGCACTGCTTGTTTAACAGAGTACAGTAATGAAACTGTCTCACCACCACTGATAGGAAGAAAATATTTATTCCTTATACTAGATTTTAAAACAGAGGAACATAACAATGAGTATTCTTTTTTAAGAGTTAACAGGTAGTCCCAGAAAGGAAGTTCTGTATGTTATGTTGTTTGGTCCCTAAAACTCAGCACTACTGAGAGCAAGAGAGAAAGAATCAGGCGTCTGTGGGTGTGATGAGTGAAAAGGAGGGCATGTCTGCATTACTGCTTTTCTTTGACATTGCCTGGCTGGCAGGTTGTCACCTTGGGGGCCTCGCTGTCCTCTGTGCACAGCACAGCCTTGTGGCTTCACCTCGCCTGTGGTGGGCACGGGTCCAGGAGAGAGCCAGCCCTTTTACATCAAGGCATCCCAAATGGTTCTTTCTGAGCGCCCGTCGCTGCACATGGAGCACGCTGAGCACAGCTGTGAATCCGGGACTTAGCTCATTTACTGCCTTGTGCTAGTGGGTAATGCGCTGCCTTCAGCAATTATGCAGGGGAAAAAAAAAGCCCACAAAACAAAACCCCCTCTTGTGTTTCTCTGTAACATTTATGTGTAATCATCTTATTGAAAGGAAAACCCATTTTCTCGGTAATATCAGAATCAATAAATAGACTTTCTCATTAAAATACAGCAAATGCATAGAAAACAAGGGAGTGACAGCTTTTGGCACAACAGCACACTTACAGAAAAAGAGATGAAGTAATCTGAAATCCACTGCTTCAAATATACCAGTGCAATGAATTTCAGCTTAATTCATCCTACTGAGACAAAACCTTGATGTTTTGTGTTAATGCAGTTAAGCACTTAGAATTTAATCATGCCAACGGAATAATCAAGTTAAATAGGGAACTGCTTTCATGATTGCAGCTATCTTTGTGTTTAGGTGCTTTTCTGAATTGGGACTGGTACTTTGCATTATTGAACCCTTAAGAGAGGTGAACTAGAATCATAAATGTCATCTTGTGGTGACATTACAGTGGTCTTGAAAGTTTTGGTAAAGTTTTACATTAAGTAGCAGTATCCATTCTGATGCCACACAGCTGCTGGTTGCCTGTGTGGGTTTGTCTTTTAGGCAAATTTGTCCTCAGGTTGGAGTTTCTCTTGTGGCTCTGGAAATGGCCTATTTGGCATCCTTTCCTATAGATAAAAAAAGAAGTGTGGCTTGCAAATTTGAATTTCTCTCCTGGAAAGGAAGCGTCTTGAAATACTTGAGTGAAGACTAGTTTTGATCTGTAGTAATTTTCATATTCAGTCGATTGCTATATTATGGCCAAAAATGCTGTGGTAGTGCTGTAGTACATGATATTTGCATGCATGTGGTTATTTTTAGCTTCACAGTCTGCTCTTTCCCGTCCTTTGCAAGAGTCCTAGCATTCACAAGCAGATATCTTCCAAAACACAACCTTTTTTTTTTTTTTCCCCTGAAACATTCTGTGCCCAGTCTGCTTTTGTATCAGCAGTATGAATTGTTGGCTCAGGAATTTGTACCAGCAATCCACTTTGTAGGAAAAGCAGATAAAAATTTTCACTTACAAAAAGAAGCCCATCTTCCTGGAAACACAGTCCTTGCTGAGCATCTTGTAAGATAAGATGTGCCCAGTTCCTAACCTTTTCACTGTAGAGGCTTTTCACTGTGTGGCTCCTGAGGTGCAGTCATGACCGAAGCCACATTCCCACACAGGGGAGCAAAAAGGTGAATAAGTGAATTTCTTTCTGTGTCTTAACGTATTATGTGTAGCACCACTACAAGTGTGGCTGAAGTGAGCACCAGTCACCTTCCTCCCCCTCTTCTATTAAAAACATTGTTGCTCTTGATTTAAATCCTTTGCAGGCAGGTAGGGACAGTGGAAACTGAGATTTGGATAGGAAGGATGGAATTTTTTTTCTCTCTGTTTTTTTTTTTTTTTGTTTTGTTTTTTTTTTTTTGGTTTTTTTTTCCCTTGGTAAGGAAGCTGCAGCAAGCAAAAAGCTCTCATAAGTCACTTTTNTTTTTTTTTTTTTGGTTTTTTTTTCCCTTGGTAAGGAAGCTGCAGCAAGCAAAAAGCTCTCATAAGTCACTTTTCTCATCAAATGAAGTGGAAGCAGGAACCAGACTCTGCAGAGTGCTCTGCTTCTGGGGAGGCCAGCCCTGCCCTGCCTTACGTTCAGGATGCTTTGCAGGGTGCCAATCTTAGTGCACATCCAGGAAGGAGGGACCTTCCTCCAGCTTTTAAGGGCTGTGAGATAAAAAGGCTTCAGAAACACTCAAGCAAATGGAGCTGTAATGGGAAATGCTGTCTCCTTGCCACTATTCAATTTTACAAAGCCCTAGGCAATTCTGGTTGGACGGCAGCATTTGGGGGATGTTAGGGTTACATGGCAAATCATTCAAGAGTTGTGAAATACCAATGTTAATTCCGTGTTCAGCACTAGCTCTGTCCTCCCGGGTGTCTGCCTGCTGACACTTTAATTACATGATCATGATGGGTAAAATCCTATTCCTTGTAAATAATGTAGTAGGATTCCTATTCATGTCAGTAAAACAAGTCCTTCTCTTAATTTTTCAGTGTTTTCATGTTTGTTTAACAAGGCTTCATCTATACCTGAGCATCTCTACTGCAGCCTTCCTTCCTGATATCCTTTCTTCGTTTTCCTAAATGCATATGTATTTTTTTTTATTAAGGCAGCAGGGCCTGTTTCTCATGTGACTCTGGAGAAACCTCTGGAGGAGTTCCATTAATTTCACTCTAATAGGAGTCAGAGGTGACAGAAATTTGGTGCCTTTTTTTATTCTCTTCTTTTAAAATTTAGCTCCTTCCTCTCTATGATATAAATTTAATCATCTTGGATGTAATTTCGAGCACTTCTTGGGAGGTGCTTAACACATAATCAGACTGAACCATATACAGTTCTTTTCTGTGGGTCAGCACAGCACATGTTATGTTCACTTGAAGGAGTGAAGCATTTAACTGTTTAACACATTAAACTGTTTGGATAGGCACTGTTCTCCTCCAGACATGCCACGTAGGAGGTGAGGCAGTTAACTGTGATGCTTATTGAGCTAGAAGCATAGCTGGCTTCTGTTTTCTGGAAAATGTTTACTACTGCTTGGTAATATGTTTTTGTAAAATGCCTTACTCTATATTTTCCTTGTAAATTATGGTAATGGAATCTATTTGGAAAAAAAAATAGTATAGAGTAGTTTTAAGTGAAACATAAACACCTAAAATTAGGAAAAATGTTGTTGAATATGCTGTTTTGTTGAATATTTGAAAAGTTGCATACAGTCTTGTAATTGAAGTTTCCATGGGTACACATTGACAAAAAGGGGCATAGTAAAAGTAGAACTTGAACATTTTGTTGGTCCTTTTTTGGTTTTGTTACATAACTATCAGGCATCCAGGTTTTGGAGGTTTTTTGGTCTGATGGGTTGGGTTATTTTTATTATTATTTGTTTTAATCTGTTTTCTGCTGCAAGAGTATCAGTCTCATCAAAGGCATTACAATGACACAAAATCTCTGCCAGTAATAATTTCATTTTTCTTATTAGAAAGTTTAGAAAATCCCAAACAAACAAAAGAAGCCACAAATAAACCTGAAGAAGCGAAAAAGGTCTTTGAATTCCGTGTGAGATGCTGATTGATAGCTGGCTTCACTGTTTTCTTTAGGATCCAAACCAACTCTCCTTTTCCAATGGCTCTAAATTTACGTATAGGTAAAGGGCCATTTCAAGCTTTTTGCGGAATTGAACTCTTCCCTTGAGATCTCACTAACTTATGAAGGATGGAAAATAAAACCTGGAGACTTTTGACCGAGCACAAACCCAATAAATTAGTATGTAACTTTGAGAGGCTCATTGGCAATTCTCAAAAATAATGCTTTGAACTCATAAAATGCCCTGAGTGTTGTTTTTTATTTATAATGTAAGAGAAAGTAAAGCGTAAGTCCTAACCTGCATTTTCTATATTGTAAAAGCAAGAAAAGGTTAAATGAGTGAACTAAGAGCCCATAGTTTTCTAGATCTCAGAGTCATTGCCTTTGAACACAATTTTACCTGCCTCTTCTGACTGTTTTAAGGTAAATAAACCTGTTGGATTCTATTTGGACAAAAGCGCATAAAAACTAATATTTGCGTTATTATTTCCTAGAGTAGTACAGAATGAGGTGCATGTGAAATAAGAAATGAAGTTAAACTTTTCCTAAAAAATTATGTCATATAAGAGAATTTGCAAGTTCTACAAGTTTTAAGAGAACTTACAGGAAGGATGGGTTTTTAAAGCACTCATATAACAAGTTTATGTTATTATTAGAATAGAGAGTGGGTAGTTTTTTTTCCCAGTCTCTTCATTTTGGAGAGAAGGATGCTGGATAGGAGAGGATACTGGGGTTTTAGATTAGTGCTTTGTTTTTCAAAGGTGCTGGTGAATATTTCAATAAGGTGACAGAATTACTCACATACTATATTTATCTGTGGTGTGACCTTGTCTCAGTCCATACAGATGCAGTCAGCAGTAGGGCTCTTTTCATAGAATCACAGCCTGACAGTTTCAGATGTGGCTGACGAATTTTGACTGAATTGGATAATAAGTGTCTTTGCTAAAATATTTTAAAGCAGGTGCTGCCCCCTCAGTCAGACTAGACTGAACTGTGGGAATATTACTGGCATTTAGGGAAATGGAGAGGACATGGGGTGATGTTACAAAGGCTAAATATAGGTAAAAAGGACTGGGCTGACTCACTTGCACATAGTGAAGAAGGAGATCAGTCAGGTGCAATTCCCTGGAGGGATCTGACCCTCCTGCTGCTTCTAGAG